GAAGGGGAGAAAATAGACAATACAAACAACAATACAAACAAGTGTTTAATAATTAAAAATAACAAAACAGACAACAGAATAACAAGAACAGACAATAACAATACAGACAACACTGATCCTAATAAAAAAGGAAAAGTAGTAGAACCAACAGACTTAATGGACAACAAAGTTAAATTAACCAAAAAAGAAGTAGAACCTAAATTACATTGATTAGAATGGAAACAGAAACTGACAGAACACACTATCAAGCTTGAACAATGTATGCAGAATAAACATGTAACAAAACACATGTATGTACTTAGTGAAAAGGACAAAGATAATATTGCTATTCATTTAATGGAATTTAATACTAAAATAAGTGAAATACAATCGGATCTGACTTCATTTTATAAAGCAATCCAATGTCCAGATTGTGATTCATAAATAACAGCTATGAAAGATGAAATAAAACAATTAGAAAATCATAATACATGGGAAATCATAAATCCACACAATAATATTAACATTATCAGAACACAATTTGTCTATAAAATAAAGCAATACACTGACAATAGTATAGAAAAATACAAAGCATAATTAGTAGTTTAAGAAAACTATTAGATTGACAGCCTTGACTATCATACAGACAATTTATTTGCTCCTACTACTAGACTATCTATAGTGTGATTAATATTAGCATAAGCAGTATCTAATAATTATGAAATACATTAGATAGATATTAAATCAGTATATCTATACAGACAATTAACAGAAGACAAAGAAATATATGTTAAACCTCCTCCAGGCAACTTAATAGACAGATTACAGAATGGACAAATATTACAATTATAAAAAGTGCTATATGGATTAAAACAAGCTGGTAGAAGATGGTATAAAATGCTATCTAATATACTACTTAAATACAGATTAACAAAATCCAAACATGATAATACTGTATTCTTTACAAAGAAGAAAGAAATAACTGTAACCATATTATTTGTACATGTTGACAATATTACTATCACAGTAATGAATAATAATACTATTACAATGATAAAACAATCTATTGTACATCATTTACAATATACAGACAGTAGAGACTACATTGGCTACTTAGTATAGAGATTCAACACAACAGAGAGTATAGATTCATCAGGATGTGTCAGACACATTATATTAATAGTATAATTGAACATTACAAACTTACAAACAAACAAAGTGTACAAACACTCATACAACCAGGTACACAATTAAAAACAGTATTGCAAACTTATAACAATAGAAAACAAATGTCTGATATACTATACATAAACATGGTTAGTACACTTAGATACATTACAGACTGTATACAGCCAGATATAGCATTTGCAACAAATCAGTTAGCTAAATACCTTAATGACCCTGGTATAGAGCATTATCTAGCACTTAAACATTGTTACATGTACTTAAAAACTACAAACAATGTCTGGCTCCAACTTGGCAGTACAAATCAATCAATATTGAACAGATATACAGACATGGACAGTATGATACAAGAAGGGCATTGTACAATATCAGGATATGCATTTTACTTGAGTGATTCATTAGTTTCATGGTTGAGTAAAAGACAAACACTAGTAGCAAAATTGACATATGAAGCTGAATTAATAGCTCTTGCAAGAGGAACACAAGAAGCAATTACACTTACTCATTTAGCTGAAGAGATTCTGCAGGTCTCTGAAGCACCAATTAATATTTATTACAATAATGATGCTGTCATACAAACAGTTACATCAGACAAACTCAAATACTCAGAACAGACAAAGCATTTAGATCATAAGAAAGATTTTATTAAATGCTATATTGAGTTAGAGTACATAAATGTGAAATACATACATACAAATGATCAAAGAGTGGATATATTAACAAAAGCACTATATGTACCACAAGTCAAACATCTTACCAGTTTACTCGGACTAGTAAGAGTTTGAAGGGGAGTATCACAAGATGATGAGTTTATTACAAGACAATGACTTCATAATGTCTCAGTTAGAATACATACAATATAAGGACGAGAGACACTGAGCAGTCAATCCTCACCTTGCCCCTTGTTCTTGCATGCCTTCCCTCTTCACAGTTGTATAACATCTTTTGAATAGAAAATCTCAAGCATATATAATGTGTATTATTCTGTTTATACTGATGTATGCTAGTACTGTTATATGCTTATCATTTGATCTTCCTGCTGCATAAGTATATGCTCCAGGAAGTATTAGGCTGACATTTCTTTGACCAGGTACTGACTACCATGTGGTGCATGTTAGCTTAAGATACTGGCACAGGGTGTTTTAGAAAAAGGAGATTTACTAAATGAAATCATTTTATTCAAAGACATCTAAAGCAGTCCTACCAGAGTGGCATAAAAGATCAATACTAAGATCAATGACAGTTAGGCAAGAATTGTCAAGTTAACAAACTATGCTGCACCAACGTACCGAATGAGTAAATTGACACGGAGAACTAGTGTCGAAGGCTAGAACGGCGAATGTCGGAGGAACCCCCAGGAGTTCTATAATCTATTCACTTCACCACATAGTCGCAGATAAGCACTCGATTCGGGGAAGACAATGACAGGGATCTATCAACGCTCTCCATCCGATGTATTGTCTATCACAACACGTTCCTTGTTTTATTATGCCGACATTCCACACACGACACGCTGGCACGAATTGTTAACGTGATAAATCGAGTCGCCTGCTGAGAAATCGTAGATAACATCCGTGAACAACAAATAAGAATAGTTCGTCAGAATGACAGAGAAGACAATGGACAGATATTCGGCAGAAAACATCAAGCAGACAAACCAATGATATTTCAGGAACGCCTTTCTTCGTCTGGTGTATATTATAGAGCTCTGCCCCTGAGTGACGAAAGAAATTACACTCGCCGTGAAAGGGTATTGGATCGCAGATACGACGCACCCTCGATTTGTACAGAAACCAATCAATGCGAATACGCTTTAATGCATTTTATATTACCGCAACTCTCCGAAAGCTTGGAAGGATTACCTGCATTACAACAAACCGACGACTGCAGGTGGAGCAAACAAGCGCGCACTAATTCAATCTATGGATGTTAGTTATCATGAACGCATTTCATGATATGCAGCCATGAATTGCACAGATCAACTGCCTAGTGTTCCAACTGGATAATAGAGGATAAATACCAAGAATAACAAAACACTGTTAATAACCCCAGTGCCAGATAAAAGGCACAGAAACTCAGAACTCAGAAGCGTACGTCGTACTGCACCCGGTTCGCCGCATTATTCCAACTTGCTATCACAAGCGGGGCGGGAGCGCTCATGGCTGAATCATCTAATTTGATGTCCTTAATAAAAATGCATGTTCGACCATTGATCCGCGAGTCTTCTTCCCTCACTTCGTACCTTCCCTTCCGAAACCTTAGGAACGAGGGAATGTAAATATGTATCTCTGAGAAGCGCGTGGATGTATACGATGACGACAAAGGCACTCACCTGTGTAAATATAGATGGTATGCAGAGCGAGAAATGAATTGATGCGCGGAGACGAGATGAGATCGAATTCGAGTAATATGAGATTTTTTGATATGAGATCATTCAACATATTGAATTCCACGCCCTCGAGGACGAGGAAAAGTATAAATAGAAACCCGACAACAACGCATAATAAACTTGAACAGAACAGAACTCTACTCAACTCATAATCATTGATACTTACATACACGCACACAATATTCAGAGCAGATATGATATTCGTGTTCAGGATAAAAGTTGATGACAAGTGGTATCACTGCATCATTAACTCGTGTTTATCCGACTTCCTCCGCCGCGTAACCCACGTCAAAGAACCGATGCATAGCCATTCGGAGGTGTGCTGAGTGCGTTTGCTTTCAACTTTGCGTTGTTATCTGTAAGTGAATAAAAGGGGGGAGGGGGGAGAGCGGCGTGCGGTGGAGGCGCTGGCAGGGAAGGAAGGGAAGTTCGGATTGCATATACGTATGAATGAATGACAACACATTGAAGGAAGATGCTGATATTGTTGACGTTCCACTTTTCGTTGACAAAGGGGCGAGAGGAGAGCCAGGATAGTGTATTATCCATCAAGTCCGAGCCGTCTCGCAGGATTTATACAACAACGTGGCTTCCAAGCACATTGATATCCGACGACGTTATTAATGGGAAATGAGAATAGCAACGTAGACGCCAGTTCCTTGCCCTTGCGAAACAAAACTTCCGGAATAACAAGTGCACTAACAGGGAAGCATGCCTTGGCAATGACAATCGGCTTTAAAAAGATGCGCCAGCTCCTTCAGCGTCCGTATCAGTCAAGAACGACGATGCGCTGATAATCATGTTTGTTTCGTCTTGTCATCCTACCGTTCGGGAGGTGTGAGAACGTGCGAGGAAGTCGGAAATAACACATTTTGCGATGCGAAGTCAAATGGATACATACTATACTATACAACTACAAAAAAATTCCAATCTGTATTGGCGCCATATGCACGCAAACCTCCTATCAATATTTCAATACCACCACAACGACGATAAAGACTTGAAGACTTACAATTTCCACTTTCACAGAAACGCCGGCCAGCGGGACCGCCGCAGCGAAGCAGAGTCAGAATAGGAAGAATTATCCCATTTCAAGGAAGAAGAGAAGGAAGGGCACGGTTCGGAGATGCGCGAACGCGTCTGTCTTTGCCGTACTGGTAACATCACTGTATCAAAGTAATATTAGCAGTTGTTGTAGAGCGGCGAGAGAGCGCTGGACCTGGACAGAACCCATTAATATCCATTTATCTTTGTCGCGGGAGGGACCCTTGCCACGCGTTTCACCGAGCGCACGTACCATGTTATCTTGCACTTCTGTTCCTTGGCCGACTTGAAAACGTGTATTCTTTCTGTCGTGTATTAGGAAAAGAGATCTCTTGAAGCTTGAGTGACTTCGGGAAAGGAAATGTTCACCGCAATGGTGCGGTTGACGTGAGAGAGTTGAGGGCCGATAAATTGGTGGTGCATAATGTGATATTTGTCGTCTTCATTGTCCTAATTCCTATCGCCGCAATGAGCGCGTGCATATGCTTCACCATTCGTATGTTTTTTTTTCATGCCAGTTGTCTCTTGGTGGAGATTAGACATGGCGAGATCAAAGGATCCAAATGCTCATTGAATTGCGGTCCGCTATCCGTGAGAAAACGGCTGATAAGAAGTCAAAGAGATGTCAAGATGACGCGATGCCAAGATATCAAAAATAAGCTATCCTTCATCCGGGCTTGATCCACACAGTTTTGATGATCGCACTGATCCACACGCGATCGACGTTCTCTTCAAATTCCTTGGCTGTGTCAATCGGGCATATCAGCACGCCGTATCGACCCTTTGAGATGCATGGTAAGCGTTGCTGTCGTCGTTGACGACAGGGAAGCCCGATGTGATGGTGACCGCGTCGGTGCTGCCAGATGGAGTCTTTGTTATCTTTGTGTCTTTGGTGAGTGTGCCTGCTAGGCAGGGTTCCGGAATTTTCAGAGTGATGAGGGAAGGAGGAATCGTAAGAAAAGGAAATGCTAGAAGGAAATGTGGAGTGCGGTAATCGCGGGATCATTTGCGGTATCTCAAACTCAAAAGGTTCTCACAAAGAGGGCGAAGATAACGCTACGGGTATAATTTTATTTTCTGTTTTTCTGTTTTCTGTTGAGCGAAACGCGGCGATTCAGCGGGCGCTGTGGGAGCCCTTGAAAAATCTGCGGAATTTCGCGTATCGCAAACGCGACGCGGGAGGACGAAATCCAATGAAAATAAATTGCGCGATATGAGAGAGTTGAGAGGGATTTGCGCTTCAGTCGGCAATCGGTTAGCGAGTCGGCGATGTCATCACTGCTGCTGTCATGCGAGATCGGCATGAGGACATTTGAAGTCTGGAACGGGACAAAGACCATGAAGAGGGGTGCTTGAATATCTCCACAGCGAGGGAGCGAGAAGTGGCGGTATGCCTGCAGAGATCATGCACGATCGAAGTAGAGAGAGGAGCAAGAAACAAGGCCTTGAAGGAGGGATACTGGAGCTATGCCTAATGAGGCCGGAACGGACCTGAATGTTGTGAGGTTGCGTGCTCCGCGCGTGTTATCGTTGTTGTTCGTCGACCTGCACGCACAAGGCGCCACAAAGCCAGCAGACAAGGAACTTGAACATATGGCTATGTAGATATCCAGCAAATTTAATACGCTGAGCAAGATTTTGAGTGATCGGAGGAAGAGGACCGGGGCGGCTGTGCAGGGATTGCCTAAAGTGGAGAGGAAAAGGTCGAGAACACGCAGGGATGTGATGCCCTCGCCCTGTTTCTTTGTTCGTCCCTTGTCGTCTCTTCTCGCTCGTTTCTCCTCTGCTCTGTCTTTCTTTGTGTTTCCCCGTCAAGCAATCTCGCCCATATACTCTCTGTCACTCGCTTTAGCCATGGTGCACCACCGCAGAATGTCCTCTATCAAGGCAGTCCACGCCGTGCCCTCTTCATATTCACAGTCCCTCTCCCACTCGCTCCCCACGAAGCCTCTGGAGGAGGAGAACCCGGTCCTCAGTGCGTCGGGCGTCAGCATCGCCGCAGTTGTCGCTTCTGCAGCAACGGCACTTGCCCCTATCGCATCGGTATGTCCCTCGCCTTATTTTGTCCGCCAGCTATGCTTCCATGCAAACACTCGACACACATACAAATTGTCCGATAAGTGCATTCTGCCTCTGAGCCTCTCTGCTTCGCGGACGACTGCCCAGTAGTGTTCTGCGCTTCTCTTCTCTTCGCGTCCCTTTTCTGTTCTTGTCCCGATTCCATCTTGCTTCCCGTATCTCCTCATATCTCCCTCGAAAATATTATTATTATCATATATTTATTTATCACTTATTACTTATTACTGATGCGCTCGCTTGGTCCTCTCTCCTCGTCTCTCTGCAGGCCCTCCCCAGCAGCATGCGTTCCTCAATGAGCCTCGACAGCGACGACGACAACATGTCCTTGTCCTCTCTCGACCTCCTCACCCCCTCCACTCCCGGAACACCCTCCAAGTTCTTCCCCCACCCACCTCGCTTCCCCTCCAGCAGCAGTATTACCGCGTCAACATCGCGAACAGCACTCAGGAGAGCCCAGCTCACCTTACGGAGATTAACCTCGCGTTTCCTTGCAATGCTTTCCCCGACTGCACCTGGTCTGCCACTCAAGTCACCTCACCTCTCGCCCTCGTCCTCACATTCATATCTCGCATCATTGCCGACTAGGACCCATGCACCTGTACGCCGAAAAGCGACATTCCTTGCGCTACTTGCTCTCATTGTGCTTTCCGCATGGACGCTCTTCACATCGTCACTAACCGACCGCGAATCTAGCACGCGTCCCTACGCTAATGGTATGGTGCTTGGGTGGAAGGACTGGCGCAATAAAGCTCAACATCGCGAGGCAGAAGCTCATAAGAGTCTATTAAGCAGTCCATCGTTCCGTGCTGCCGTATTATCAGAATCACCCGACGCGTTTTCCAACTCACATACCCCTTCGCGACCATCTGCACTCGAATTAACGCCTGCCGACGAGCTTGCAGCGCTCACGGCATTCATGGCTGCTCTTCCCTGGAATGCTCTTCCTTCACATATCGATACCTCCGTTCCTCTAGACCCGAATATCATCCTCGACTTTGACCCTTCTCATCCACGTGCTCGCGACGAGCTTGCTGAGCTCCGACGTGAGACCTGGCAGCTTAACCCCCTCGTGCTTTTTGGAAGGTCCCGACATGCATCGACACGTGAAGTCCGTAGTGCGTTGGAGAAGCTGGGTGTAAACGTGGATGGAATGATGCAGGTGAATATGAATGAACGCGTGGACGGTGATCTCGTTATGGGTGTTCTTCGGCGCGTTCTTCCGTCTCTCGATTCTATTTCGGACAGGTCAGAAGTGGACTTACCGTTCCTTCTAATTAACGGACGACCGATTTATGGTGAAGACGTACCAACACTCGTGGAGAGCGGGGAGATGGTACGGTTATTACGCGATGCAGGTGTACGATTAGTGGTCGGTGGGAAGAAGAAAAAGGGACACTGAGTGGATAATCTCGGTGCGCTCTCTTTCTTACTGTGGATGGAGAGGAGGGCGCAGGCCGCCCGTATCTCGTCTGTCGGCCGAACATTGCTCATGCATCGTGTATCGCGTGCTGTGTCTGCACAGTACGACCTACCTCGTGTTTCGTGCGAACTCGGTGGATCGTCTCTCGGCTTCACTTCGTGTATCGGGGCACGACTCAAATAGTGATGTCATCCCACCAGGCCTCTCAATTTATCGTGGTGATATACTTAGGTTCAGACGTTTCGGCGCGCGTGTTGTCGGACGTCTTTCGCCTGCATTCATTCTCGCTTTCATTCATTCGTTCATAAGTTCTTTTCGTTCATTTCTTAACCACTTTCACTTTTCATACTCACATACATAATTCACCACTCCTCCAGACCGTCTCTTTCTCAGACAGACGGACGGACGCGTGTACATACGGTTAACATCATCATCTCCCTGGTTTTCGGCTTTTACCATTTCGTCCCTCGGCTTCTCGTCCTATTTCGTACTCGGCTCTTGATCCTCGTTTCGTACATGGTGCTCGTTCGTACTCTTCCGCTCACCTCATGCTTCTCATCTACCTCTTCTTCTCCTTGTCCCGTCTTCTACTAACTACTCCGACTCCGACATCTTACTCCACCCTTCTCACCTCCCTCGAACCTTTAGACACTCCTCCCCTCCTCCCTTCCACCCACCCCGAACTTCTCACATCACATCACTTTACATCATGCCATGACGAACGCATAAACATAAACCATAAACATAAACGAGCGGACACTTTGTTATTACTTTTACCGATTGGTAGAGTACTTAGTAGTGCTGAAGATTCGAAACCCTTATATGCATGGTACAAGTAGCATTTCAGTTTTTTCTCCTTTTCGTCCCATTTCTCAAGCGAGAGCGTTATCTAGACAGAAACATTTATATACCTTCGTACAGATACAGATACAGTAAATATAGAGACGTTCGAAATGTGAGAGTGTGTGAGAGTGACGAGTGTTGCTTGACTTGTTTGAAAATTGGTTGTAAGTTTAGAAAAGTTGGGATATCCTGACGTCACTCTCCAATGCCGGAAACCAATTCTAGTTACACGTTTCTTCTCGTGTACACCACACGAAGACGCTAGTAGCATCGTTAGCACCTCTTGAGACTTGGGATGACAGCAAAGGTTCACTAGTGCCTACCTAGAATTCATTAGCTTTGATATTTCACAACGTCATATTGGCAGCGAGTGGATCTATGCTGGACATGTGTGCTGGACATATGTTCTTCCTTCCCTCTAGACCTCTTTGCCTTACGTCCTTAACAAATGAACAGTATTGTGGTTGACTTCTTGAACTTGGTGTGAGTGTTGCTAGAATCTACTACACATATTAGCTGAGTTTAAACATGAGGCTCACACAAAAACATTACAGCTGTTTGCAAAAATATTGGCTGTAGCATAGTTCACGTGATTTTTTTTCACAAAGTCGCAAAATACAGAAAAAGTACTATAACTCACTCAAATCTTGATAGAATTACTTCAAATAAGTTGCTAAATTCATGTTTCTAATAGTAGAATATATTTATCAAATTAGTTTTTAATTATCTCTTTTTCTTGTCTTGTGAAACTGAAATACATAGATTTTAACTGTTTTTCCTTGTATAATTTTTCCTAGTCTCAAATCTGAACATATAGGCTTAGAAAACTGTTTATTCTAGTCGGATACATTAATAATTAATTTACATACTAAATTTACTATGAATAGATTGCTTATTCTGTTTTATTGAGAGGGGGCTAAAATGTGCAAAACTGACTATTTTACCCTAGTTTCCCCCACAGTTAATAATTTTTTTCAGCCTCAAACTGTATTCTTAAATTAAATATAAATGTATTAGAGTAGTTTACAACAACTTTCATGTAAATATGTTCAAAATTGAGCTCAG